TTCTGGTGGGAAAAAAACATAAACATTCTCTCATTTGGATGTGTCTTCATGCTGCAGGAACTGACGTACTTTACTCAAAAGGAAATCTTACAGTAAGTTTCTGCTTAGCTTTACACGATTTACGAGAAATTAATTCGTCGATATGGTATTTTTTTTTATAAATTCGAGGGTTAGAATGTTTTATGCTGACCTTTTTTATTTGCTATGTTTAAAATGTCAATTTTACTGGTTAGAGTAGTAGTTATTAACATATTATACATGTTAGGTTGTCTAAGAGAGACATACATGTAAGATTGCATTTTAAATCATATAATCATTTCATTAATACCTTATTTTACTCCTATAGTTGTCATAAAAGATTTTCGCAACTTGATCCAGACGCTGTGAGACTTAACAAAAATGCAAAACTTCCATCAAGAAAGATCATGACCTTACCAGAGCTAAGGGTATGTAATCTACTGCTGTTATTTTTCCATTTTAAACTAGTCAGAGTAACTTCAAGAGCAGCATAGAGCCAGGGTTTAATGCTTACCTGTGTTTTATAATGTCACTAGTAGGATTTTTACCAGTTGTATCTGATTCTTACTCTTTTCAAGATAAAATTTGAACAATGATGTCTGGTTATTTTATTATCCAGGTGAATCCCTTTAAAGACAGAATTTGTAAAGTATTTTCCTCATCCAAGGATGGAGAACTGACATTTGAAGATTTCCTGGATATGATGTCTGTTTTCAGTGAAAATGTGAGTTTACAAGCTTTCCTAAAATGGTGAATATTTTAGGATTAAAGACTGACCTGAGTGTGTCGAAAGAAGAAATTCTGAATGCATTGACTTTAGACTAAACAAAACCTCTTTTTGGGTTTAAATTTTCAGGTATCAGTATGTCCCTAATAAACTTGGTTTTATAAAGCTTTGTAGACTGAAATTTGAAAAGTTTGATTTGGATTTAACATAATCAACAAATACACATTGAATCTTATCACCTCTCTCTACAAGGCTGTGTGTGATTAAAAAAATATGTTTCTTAAATTTCTTGTTTACTTTGGCCGATTTTTAAACTTTCAAGGAGAGAAAACATTATTTTAAAGAGATGGAACACAGAAAAATTGCACAGATCCTGAGTCCTGTAATATCAGGCCACCTTTTTTTTGGCTATCTCAAGTATTTTACTTAGAGTGACTGTTGTTGGAGTTCAGAGAACCTTAATCAGTATAGCAATTAGATTTGTTCTGTTTTCTACTCCAAAACTGTTTTTTATCCCAAAAATCTGTCTCAGACATAGAGGAAAGGTACTCAGGGAGGGGGAGATTGCTGTTAGTTGTGTTTGTTGTTATACCCCTCCTGTGTGATTCTAACCCGTTCTTTTCCTTTACCTTAGGCTCCTAAGAGTGTAAAAGTGGAGTATGCTTTTAGGATTTATGGTAGGTTTGACACTGAGTAATTGCAATTTCTATGAAAAGGTATTATTCTATTTCTTTAATCCTCTTTTCATTTGCTTTTTGTGTCATTTTACATAACTAAGAATTCAGAAGATTTTCAAACTTGCATACACTGTAAGTAATGTAGACTCCTGTTCCAATTGATGACAAAAGTAAATGATTTAAAAATTTTGTGACATTTGATATCCTCATGTTATTGTTGTTGAAGGGGGGGGGGTGAAATTCTGCTTGTTTAATAGTAAAATCAAGTGTAGGGTATCTTTAATCTGAAGGTCTTTTTTAGTGACATGAACAAAGCAACATACAAATTCAGCATAATCTCTGTAAAAAGCCACAGGCCACAACTAAGTAGTAGACACATTTCCAGTGAAATTGTGGATTATTTTTTTTTGCAATGCATGTGGGGGCAGTCTTTTACAAATTCCACAATCTGATTGGTTTTGAGAGCATGCAGTATACTCCCAATTGGCATGCTCACAGTGGATGGCATTCTATCCATTGCTTGTTGAGTTGCTAGAGACATCCTTAGCTTTGTTGCAAATTTTCATAAATAACTTTGTTTTTCCATCTGGGCAGCATTTCCAAGCAAAGATTTTGGTCACAACCTTTAGCCAATAAATAAATAACTCAATTCTCTCCTCTCTCTCTCATATTACTTTGGTTTTTTAAATAGACTGACATGCTGCCTACAAAACTGTTTGTAATTTTATAATCCTTCTCAAAAAGTAACTCACTAAGTTGAAACCAGTGGTATTTGCAGTTAAAAATTATATTCATTTAACCAAGGTAAATTTCATCCATTTTATTATCTGAATTCTCCAAAACAATTTGCTTGTTGTAAAACATTGAACAAAATTTTGAGTTCTACTATAAATAAACTTTCAATAATTCTGCAAGTCCCATGAATTGACATTTCTAAGGTACATTTCACAACAGCAACCAAAGTAATTTGATACATAAAAGTTGCATTATATCCCCATGTGTCTAGCTAGAAAAAGCATTGCACTTGACTTCTGTTTTTCAGTGGAAGAAAGACAAGATTTACATATGCCATTGAAGCAGACAAACAAATAGAGTCTCATAACTTCAAAACCTACATTTAGATTTGTTTACAATTTGACTTTCCTTGACTTTTAAAACTGGACAGAGGTAATTCTTTGCAGATAAATTGTCATGAGAAAAGTGAAAATTTTTTCCATGAGATCAGTGAAGAAGAAAAGTCACTGTGACAGTCATTTAACTTGAGTATGCCTGCCAAACCAGTGCTGTTATTTTTTCAAAAGTGTATGCAGACTTTCTTTTTTTCTTACCAGCTCTCTAATTATTGAGTGTCAAATCATGAGAGATACTTCAAAGTTTGCTAGGAGGCCTTTTAAATCACCCTTATCAGTATGCAGATAAAGGTGTTTTCATGAAGGCTTGCTTTTTAATTTACACTACCTCTCTTTTCTCTACCATCTACTTGTTCATAAACTGTTCAGTTTATGAGGATCTTACTTTCATTCCTTTGAAGAGCATTTGGTTACATTTTAGAAAAAGTGAAAATGTTATTCACTAGCCTAGGTCGGTCCATATTTGGAAAAACTGTGCCCTCTGTCATGAGTACCACCTACAGCCTCGGGCAGTATTCAAGAAATCAGGCACAGTTTAATATGGACCTCCCAGCTGGTGAATAACATACATATAACCCTAACCACTGTTAGTCTTAGTTTGACTTGTGTTCTCCAAAGATTTTTATAGTAGCACCCACCCCTTATGAAATATAAGGTTGCAAAGGTCAAAATTTATTTGAGATGGAGATAGGTATTTTTTCTTAAATGTGGCTTCAGAATGGAGTAGCTGGTAAAACTGCTTGTTGTTGGTGCCTCTGGAGAACACACTATGGCTCCCTCTTCTTCAAACAATGCATTTTTTTTTCTTTGATTACACAACATTGAAGACAGGAACAAGATTTGGTGATGTGAAATGTGGTACACTCTAAACTCCAATTTTTGATACTCTAAAGTGTCTACCCGAATGATATTCATCAACAAAGGTTTTTGAGATTTGCTGCACCCATGACTAATGAAAGTGTTTGATTGCATTCACAGATTTCAATGACGATGATTACATCTGTGATAATGATCTAAAAAAAGTTATCCAGCGACTGTGTGGGGAGCAGAGGTTGTCTGATGATAATGTGAATGCTTTAATTCAAAAGGTAAATCATCTATTCAGCACAGTGATCACTGATAACATCTTCAAAAGTAGTTTGCATTTCTCAAGGAATCTTTTTCTTCCTATGTGCATGGTAAAGCTAACAATTAGCTGTCTTATTTTACTGATGCTGGTTCACAGAGCTTGAAGGTACTTGTTTATGCAATTTACTGTTGAAATAATGTTGATGAATGGTTGGAAATTACCTGGCAAGGTAAATTCATGGGAGCTGATGATTAGGAGAGTATTCAATCATTAAGTTTATTTATGGTGTTGATTGGCATGTTCAAACAGGTAGCATTGTAAATTTTACTCAGTACAAAAGGTGTGAAAGTAATGTTTCTCTTTTAAGCAATTGTCTCAAACATCAGTAAAGAGCAGGATTGATGAAGAAAGTCAAGAAAGAGAGACTTTCCATGAACTACAATGTATCAAATTGTCTCCTATCCAGGATTTAGTGGTCTTGAGCTTGTAAATAATCTTGACTACTGATAATTTAAATTTTCCAAGACAGAGCTAACTCTTATAGCAGTTTCAAAGTGGCAGAGACACTATCTAAAGTTTTTTTTTGCTTTAAACTTTGCTCCTAGGTTACAGGAAATATGCACTTTGATTCATATCCAAAAACCCCATTCAGGGGAAATTTAACCTTTCAGTGAAATAACTGTAACTGTCTTCATTTTGTCCAGCCCTCCCACCCTCTCTCCATGGATAGTACCAGAACATTCAACCAAATGTAGAGTTTTTGTTTATATACTATTGACAACAAAGAAACGTTTTCCTTAGTTGAGTCCTTTATTTCAACAGCTATTGCTTTGCGCATATTCTTTGAAAATTGTAGGAAAATGAATTTACAACACAGCATCACTCCATTCATCATAGCATTAATTTGATAATAATTTGATGTTAATTTGATGAACTCTTGTGTAATATTTATAATCATTCTTTAAAATGGTGAAATGCCAAAAATTTACAAGTCACCTTAGAGGGAGAATGAGGGTCCAATGCACTGATTTGTAAACAATTGTAACAACCTTAAAGTCAACCAGCTGGCAAGACTTATTACCCCTTTAAATGTAGTACAGCAATCCAATTAACCCTTTAACTCTTAGTCATGATTGATAAGCAAATTCTCCCTAAAACATACATACATACATTATCCAGCAAACAGGTCATAAGAATATTCAAACTTATCAGGTAAAACTTGTTATCTTGATCCAACACCAACCTTTTGTAACTAATTTAAAAGGAAAATCGCTCTGACGAAGGGCTTACACTCGAAAACGCTCAAAACGTCAGCTTTTTTAGCCTTTACGGTGGCTAATTTACGTTTTCAACCCAGTTGTTAACACTAAATTACCTGCTAATTTAAAAGGAAATGTGTAGCAGGTGGAGGGGAGAATTAACTATCAGATCTTGAGATTTAAAGGGTTAAAGAAATTTCACTTCAGTTATCAACTAATATGTCACACAAAGAAAATTTTAAAAAAGCAGAAAAGTTAAGACCAGCAGTTCTCTATCTACTCCAGCTGTTTTATTCAAAGCTTGTAGGAATGTCTTGGAAGTCTCAACTGTCTTCTTTATATTCTCTTCATTTGTCGCCATTTCTCTTTTTCAAGGGAAGGTTGGCATCTGTTTGTGTAACTGGTATACTAGGTAATGGTTCAAATTCCAGTTCTACACTTTTGGGCCTCTTTCCCTCAATACTGTTGTGATATCCATACAAAAAATACACAAACATTCCTGAAATGACAGAGAAATACAATTAATGAATATGTTTTTTGTTCTGTATTTTGTTCTTAATGTTCTCTTTGAGTCAAGTCTGGTTCTTTTAATGTTTATTTGGTTGGTTCAAGGGGTAAGCACTTTTCGGTAAGGGGCAACCACAAGTGATGAACGTTTTCCCATGCTCTTATTTTGACGCTGTTGATATAAATTAGTAGAGTTTGATTTCCACAGTTGAGAAGGTCATTAGAACTCTGTTTTCCATTTTCTTGCATCACTGACTTTGTGTCCATTTGGAAGGTATTCACAAGTCTGTCGCATAACTTTTTTGGTGTCATCAGAGGATTAATTAAAGGAGGGGCAAAAATTTTAACACTTAACTGTTGTGTTGGTGGTTTGAAAAAAAAAATCTAGACACAGTTGTCCTCTTGGAAGCATAGTTATGATATTGAGTTTAGTTTTGTAGTTTTTCCACTTTACTGCCTCATTGATTTGTTCTCGAATGCAGCTTATTATCGTTTAGATTTGGATATGATTAGTTTTTCATGTTTCGTTACCTTTTTGGCGTTCATGCTTTGTTGCCTAATATGGTATATTTTATAGTTATTAATTGTATCATCCATATTTTGTAATTGTTTTGAGGGCCACAGAGTCATCAGTGTCTTTGGGCTACTGTTAAGTGTTTTTACCCTCTCTAAATAAAGCCTATTGTTACTATTATTTTTGGATTAAGGTGTGGCGCGCAATAACTTTTCTGCGGACTGTAAAAATTTTCTTTCATATTATTCTATGTTGTTGGAGTTCACTAGAAATATCTCGGCAATACTGTGAATACTGATTTTGTACATAGACTGCATGGGATAAATTTGACATAGATTACCGAGATAAGGCGTTTAGACTGCTATTGTTTGTTTGGCATCGTTGAGCATTTTTTTCCATTATTTTATGCTGGAATAAAAAGAGAATTATGAACCAAAATGGGACAAACTTATGGTTTCTTTACCAATGTTTCCTCCTCTTTTACAAACATTTTTGCAAAAGAGTGGTTTGAGTAATATTTTGATGCGTGGGTAACGGTTGAGTACCTCTGTTCCTAATGGAAAAACCATCAAGCGAAACGTCACGAATAGCTCAACTTAAGTCTAAAGGTTGGCATTAATTGGTTTTTCGTCGCTCTATCCCACGTGCGCGACTGAACTAGCGCGCGTCTTTGGCGCGCGCCAAAGACGCGCTTGTTTTCGCGTGCGTGGAAACGCGTTTACTTTCGCACGCGCGGATTCCCTCCGCGAGAAGAATGTGCTTGTTACTGCTAGTGAGGAGTGTTTTGGCGCGTAATATGAGTGTTTGTTTGTGCTTGTGCGAAATTAAATATGCGCGTAGCTGTATGCCCTCATGTGTGAAATCAGCGATACTGCCAAGTTTCGCTGAACTGAAAGAAAATACAATTTGTACATACGAATAAATAAAGCTACTTACCTATGGTTATCCAAATTGTACATTTTATGTAGGTGTGTGTTTGAAACAGTGTCATCAAAAACGTGTTTATAAATATACTGAGTGATGGAAGAAGAGGAACACATGGAACCATAAACGAAAAAGTAGCACTGTTCCGGGGCTGAAATAGAAGAACTATAAGACAGGCTATTGTGATGGACGAGTAAAGCGCCACGGGGAAGATCGTGAAAGCATCAATATTCTCTGAGTTAGTCATCCAAGTTCTGAGATATACGCAAACGGCAAACATGGATAGAATCATGACGAATACCGTGACATTCACTATGGTGTTAGAGCACTCGCTTGGACTAGCGTGACAGGTTGTCGTGACACTGTCACTCTCGGACAGCGGAAGTTTCTTGTAGTTGACATTCTTTCCTCTCCTTCTCTTCTTCAGTAACGTTCGAAGCCAAGATTGCGTTCGTTCCAATAACTGCTCTTCATAGCATACCCACTGGGGATTTTTTTGGTAGCGAGTAAGTATCACTGATATAGACACCATGGTGTAAGTTATAAGGGTCATAATGGCCATCATCTCCACTAACTGTTGCATGTTAAACAGAAACGCAAGCAGCGCGCTCAGAACTCCACTGACAGCCACAGCTCGCAATGGAACCTGTCTGTCCTTGTTTATTTTAGTGAAGCAACCAAAAATGAGACCGTCATACGCAACAGCGTAAATCAGACGCGGTGTCGCGAAACACGCTGCCAGCAAACTACTCAGCATCGCGCATAAGGCGCCAACGGAAACGATGTACGTTGATGCAGCAAATCCACGTTTGGCGAAGGCGGCGGCGACGGGTGCAAGGTCCTTTAACTGATAATAAGGAACCATCATGGTCAGAACTACGATGACTCCGATGTAAACAAACAGGCTTATTCCCAAAGACAGAAGAATAGCCAGTGGTACAGACACCTTGGGGTTGACAGCTTCCTCGCTCGCACTTGGTATAGTATCGAAGCCTATGAAGCAATAGAAGCAGCTAGAGGCAGCTTTAAATATACCTGTCCAGCCGTACGGCGCAAACTTCTCCAAAGTGGACCAGTTGTAAGCATTGGCATGGTAGGCCCCGGCAAAGATAACGAAAGTTGCTATGAGCAGGTTGGCAAAGACTGTCACGTCCAGTATGGTTTTGGACTCTTTCACCCCCAGGCAGATTATCATTGTCGCTAAAAAAACTAACGTAAAGGCTAAAAGATCGGGAAGCTCTGAAAGCGCCGGCGCTTGCCAAAGGCCGAATGAATCCTCGAAGAATTTGTACACAGAACCATTGGAGAGAAAATTAATGTACTCGCTACAGGCCGATGCCAGGGACGCGGCGGACAGAACATACTCGGTAATCATACACCAGCCGGTCACGAAGGCCCAGATCTCTCCCATGCCAACGTACGTGTAGATGTAGCCAGAACCGGAGCGGCTTACTCTGGACGAAAACTCCGCATAATTCATACCGGCCAGGAGGGAAGCTACAGCCGCAATTAGGAAGGACACGATGACGGCTGGACCCGCAACCGAGTGCGCAAGCTGACCGATTACAACATATAGCCCTGCGTCTATCAAGCCACCGATACCGAGAGCTGTCAGATCAAACACGTTCATACAACGCTTAAAGGGTGTGTCACTCTGAGCAAAATCATCAGTTTTCCTTCTGGTCAAGCTTTCAATGAATTTATAACCATACATCGCGACCGCGTTGTGGATGGAATTCTTGTAAATAAAAATTTCAATGCGATGCGAAGGCGCGCACCCCAAGCGTATACAGTCCAGCAATCTTGTTTTTTTCTAGTTGTACGCCGCTCATTTGAATATTGACTTTGGACGCGCTCGACCATAAACAGTCGGCATTCAAGCATGAAATAATATTATTTTTTGTCGAGTGCGGAGGCGTTCAGGATTGTTCTGGTAACATGGTAAACGCTCGTTTGGAGTCGCACACATTTTTCTGCCATGTTGCCGTGTCTATCTGAAAAATCTTATTAGGCTTTGATGGGTCTGAATTGTTTTGAGGATTGAAAAATTATTTCGCGTCGAGGCAATTGGAATCTTCTAGTTCTAAGAATAGTGATGAGACAACGAAAATCTAATTATAAACTGAACCATCCACTTTTACGAGTATTCCAAGTAGAAGTTTTGAATTTTTTTTGTTTTCGCTTTCCCCTGATTCGGTTTTTACAAGAAACTTGTTTAGTTATTTCTTACGATGTCTTTACGAGTTGAATGTCTTTACGAGTTGAATTCTTAATGCAATATGTGAAGCGTAAAAAACAGGGTTACTCTATTATTCCAAAAGAATTACACAAGCTTCTTTTTTACTCCTTTGCGGCCATTTAAATCCCTTTTTGTTTTTCATTCATACGCAAATTAAACCTTTTTCTGAGCTTATCTTAGTAGTTTTTTTTTTTACCATTCATCAAGCGGAAACGATATTAGTGGTTTAAAGTTTGTTTACGCTTGTTTCAAATCATTGCTTTTTACTGAAGGCGTTTTTGTTCTGAAAGCTGAGGACTTTGGACAGAAGCGCTGAAGCGTTGTTCTTGGCGCCAACGCGCCTTAAATAATAAACAACCAAAACATATTTTACCTTTCCGTTAAAACAGCTCTATAAACCAAAAACTGTTGTCTGACGAATAAGTTTTCTTGTGCTCGATAGTTCTGGATCAAGCCAAAACTTCAACGTAACATGTATTGATATTGAGCAGTCTGATCCTGGAGCGTCTTCCAACCAAGCCACTCTCATTAAATTTTTTTGAAAGTTCCAAACCATATAAAGGGTGGAACACACAGAATATTGTTTATGCCTTTATTTTTTACACCTCGTAATACAAGAGATTGCAGATATTAGTTGTGAGGCTACGAAATTGCAAAGTTATTCGAATGGAACTTTAGGATTGTGGGCGGCAAAGAATTTGACCGACGCCGTCTTACTTCAGTAATTTTAATTTTTTATGACATCATAGAAACAAAACACCATTCATTTAGAGGAATTCAAAGCGTTAATCAATTCTGTAGTCAATATCATTTGTTTACCTCTTGTCGTTCATCAAGCTAACTTTTCGTAAGGTTTTCTTTCAAAACCTTGCTTGGAATCTTAGAGTTCAACGTTGGGCTTCTTTCATCTATTGTAAAATTATTACAAGTTATTGATTTTACTGGGTAACCATACATTACGTAAGAGTTAGTTAGACCCTCTTGGGTTTCTGTTGATATAGTATTTAGGGGGGGTGGGAGAGGGCTTCCCTTAGTCTCTCAAAGCGAGGCTCAAGCGACATAAAGTCAGCATTTATTGGGATACTTGAGGGACATTCTTACACAGACATTTTCGACAAAGTAGAAAGAGTGCTAGAAGGTTAGCTGATAAGAGTGACCAGCATCTAATTTCTCCTTATAGTAATACTACAAATGTTTCATTAAGATCATGGAAAAAAAGGAAATGATCGCCAACCTTAGAAACTAACTGTTAAATGAATTTTCCCTGTCAACACCTCACGAATAGGCCATTTTACAGTTGTGTACTTAGTTGCCAAGCCTTTGATTTGGAGTGAGGCTGAAGGTGACCTTGTTGTGATAGAGACCAGTATCTAGTTAGCATGATAACAAAGTAATTTTCATTTGAAAAGCAGCAAGGTTTGTATCATAACAAGGTCACCCTTAGCCTCATTCCTGTTCAAAGGCTTGGCAACCAAGCACACAACTGTAAAATGGACTATTGTATGGAGAATGGTAGGGAGAATATTTATGCTGAAAGGTTTAACTTGCAATATTTGATGAGTTATGTAAAATTTCTTGGCTAATCAGTTAAGAAAATTTGGTATCATATCACCATAACATTCTCTAGCAGTAGGCTGTTGGTAATTTTTTTGGGCTTGAAAATGAATGATACCTGTACAGAAGGTTGAAAGAATGACTATCTTACACTTTGATTCATTCCAGATATTTGACGAAGCTGATCTGGATGATGACAATCAACTTTCTTTTGCTGAATTTGAGCACGTGATATCAAAGGCACCAGACTTTGTTAAGTAAGTTTTTTTCTTTCTGCCTGCCTTTAGACGAAAAACACTCAAGGTTCCAAATATTATGCCATCTATTAAGTAACTCTTTTTTAAGGAACTTTGAAGGCTAGACGGAGTGTCATGTGAGGGGGTGTTGAGCCTCCAATTTTTTCATCACCCGTGCTCTACAGTCTTCATTGCACATGACTCGTTTAAACTCCGCTAAGGAGGAACTCGAACTGACTGGCCACACCGTTCACTTTGGAGGCTTATATCCCTCTTTTCACGAGATTTCCTAGTTCAGTTCGTTGATGTCTTTTAGGGATTGACCTATCTATTTAGGTAGTTTCGCCTTATAATTTGGACTTTATTAAGTGAATGGACGGGTCTGGCCGGCTAGTTCTGATGAATTGTAAGCACCCTAAGTTGCGGTACCAGCTTCCTGTAAGTAAACGTGTTTTTATCTCTCTTGCGCAAATTCCTGGTGGTACTGAACACTTTTCCTGGTGCCTCCTTTTAGTTGGTCCCACTACTGGAGTTCTGTTCACCAAACACGAGGCCACCGTGTTTATTTTTGTAGTTTTGACTCTTGGTAGAAGAGGGTCTTTTTTTTTAACTTACACTTTTTTTGTCTTGTAGCTCTTTCAGGATCCGTGTGTAAAGACCATCAGTCCAACACAGCTATAATGCATTTCTCGTCCATGGACTGTCGTTAATTTCAATATTTGTAAACTGGTAAACTGGTAAACTGGTAGTTGTGGGGCGTTGGTTGGTCACAGACAAAGACTATTTCAATGCATTAGGGGAGATTAATAGAGCTTAAATGAGGTGTGAATTTTTTTAAGGCGGGTCCTTAGCTTGAATACATGCAAAAGTGTTTTGTAAATGAGAGTAAGTGAGTAATCATCCTGAGGAGCTAAACATCTATTTTTGCCGTTACTCGCACACCCTCATTCGTTTGTATTTGTACAGTGTATACTACCTTTGTACGACACTTTCTTAATGCTAGTTAACGTGTCGTTCATCTGAGAAACTCATAGTGATTAGAGATTTGGGGTTTACAAGACTGCTATGAAAAAAAATTTTGGATAATGATCGCGATCTAGATAGAACATTCTCCGCTTTGATGTACGTGAGTAAATGCTCGACTTTAGGCAGACGGCACTACTTTCTGATCTGTGCTATCGGTGTTTGCCGGGTCTCTGGCCATTTCTGTGTATGACTGAATCGGGAAATTCCATGTGTGCTTTTTGATTACGTGAACATGTTGACTAGAAATGAAGATTTTAAAGAGGGGGGGAGGGGTTCTTTCATACATCGAGAGGCTGCAACATTCGGTATTTCTATATTAGCTTTGTAAAATAAAGGCACATTTGCACTGACTGAACTTTGTATGCCGGCTTTGAAATTCTGTAATCTCTGAGGAATATCATCATAAACAATTCTCTACGATTGGGTCAGTTGTGTCTATAACTGTAGCTTTCGCTATGTCGTGAAACTTACTTGTATCACTCAAACTTTTTTGCTCGTGTGAGCATCATAATTTTTATTTTTGTACAATGACGGGTGAATTAGTTTAGGATACGTAAGCTTGTTGCTTATCCAGAGCGTTTAGATGTTACGTAAGGGACGTGTTTGGTAGTGAGCTTGGGTGCTCTTCTTTGTTTATCACAAATAAACTAATTTTGATAAACTGAGCATTTGCAGCCAGAATCATTTTTTTAAACGCAACTAATTTCGTATCAAATAGCCTTTTTCCTATTTGATGGTAGTGTGCGACTCGGGCTTAGAACTCCATGATTGTCGTGTGCATCCATCTCGAAGTGGCGTTTTGGGGTCGCAGTGACCGCCTCTACCAGTGGCTTCAGTTATGTAATGTAGAGGTTTCGGGTAGGGATGTGTTTGTCGTCATTATTAAAAGGTGGCTGATTCAAATCAGTTCTTTGGCTGACTGAATATTTACATCAAATTCTCCAAGACTATAGGTAGAAGCCTTCATAGAGCTCTGAGTTGGAATAAGATGAAATAAGCATTTGTTAACAAAAACTAACCTACCAGACTGATTGAGTGCAAACATACCCAAGGCAATCTAATAATATTTAATATCTAGTTAATATTTAATTGAGATCTCATTGGCTTTTATTAATATTTACCACAACTTTTCTGAACGGTCGCGATGATTACTTTATATTTTACAGCACAATCCTCTATCAAAAACATCTTTACCCGTTGAAACCTGAGCCGGGTTGTTCAAAGCTGGGGTTAAGAGTACACAGGGTCAGGTGTGAAATCTGATTTCAGATCTGGAAGCTATAAAATAGAATTCACTACAATTTATTTCATCTCAGAATTTGATGACTAGATTACCTAAACAGTAAAGAACAAATTATTCCGAAAAGCTAATGAACAAGGCTGGTGATAATAAAAGAAAAACAGGATTGATATTTAAGCCTAGGACAACTGAGCCGTGGACTTAAAAAGCTTTTACGTAAGTTATACTTCAAGGC